TATCTGATAATGAAATTATTATGCTAATATGATCGACAAACTATACTTGAACTTTTACTACGTTCATATAAATCATCTCTAATACAGTTTCATTAATAATCTTAATTCATATCTGATAATTATAAAAATTAATCTAAATAATACATACTCTATCAGTTATAAACCATGCAAGTTCGCACAGTCTAAAAATCAATAATATATATATATATATGTATAATAAATTTTCCTAATTTATACGTACTAGATTGATATATGTCTTGATTTATAATAATTCAATACGAATCATATCATTTGTTTTATATGGAAAATAAATAAAAATATTCATATATTATTCGTCGCGTCAAATATAAAGTTGATTGTTTTTTTTCAATGTCGCAACACTGCTGATAGAAGAAGAAGGAGAAATTAGTAGTTCGTGGTTGACTATTGACCAATGAATATTTTAATGTATAAATTATATTATTTAAATTATTTAACAATTGTTTAACAATGAATTCTACATTCAAATAAAATTCTTTTCTAATAAAAATCAATTCAAACATTTTTATTATATAGATGTCGCTCATATTGATTTCTAATTCTATTGATTGATTTTTCTAAACCAATAATAAAGACAATCTTTTGTTCATAATTTGAGATTTGTAAGAAAAATATCAACAATAAAAACAAAATTATTATATTTGACATAATTATATTGCATCTATGAAATGAATTTTATATTTTAAATTCATGTCATTCTTACATAACTAGGTAAGAACAAAAAGTTTTAGAAGCAAAGCAATCTTTGTAGATTTAATGAAGCCTTCTTTTTTTTTCTCTTATATTCTTAGTGAAACCAAATATAAACACAAGGCTTGACGCTTAAGGTTATGATATATTTGAATATTTAAGGTTTCGCATCGATCAGAATATAGTTCCAAGTATTTTGTTGAACTTCATATAAAGTAGAATCGTTATAAAACTATAGTTTAATCAAAATTAGCAATGTTTTATATTGATCGAAATCTATCCGAAAGAAAAATTCGTTAGTGCAAGAAGTACTTTTTTCTCTTCCTGTATTATGAATTTGTTTAATCAAAGAATACAGCTAACATCATCAAAGGCACGTTCAACCCTGAGACTCTGCAGGAACTCACACAGTTGAAAAAGAAAACGTTGTTATTTAAAGTATATCTTGTGTTTGATAGCATGACCATATTAACTATATATGCGCGGTGACTGTATTCATTTACATTGACAAAAAATAATTATTTATTAAAAAAAAAAGGAATAGTTTATCAGTTAAATGTACTGAGGTAATATTTACCGATAGTATTAATGAAGATATACATATAAATATTAGATTATTATCATGTATCTCAACTAATTAGTGTTTCCCATTATTCAGTTTATATATTTAAAAGCTCGTTTATAGTATACCAGTTAATATATTCATATGTAAAAGATATATTGACAAGATAATATCGCATGTTTATGTATAAGTCAAATCGAATCGATTAAAACAAAGATTCTATTCGTTAGTTTTTTTTTTATATATATTATGAAAATAGAGGTACTGTTTTTTTTCTTATTTATTGCTTTTCGACACATTTCATAATATAACAAGTGTCATGCTCGGTTGATTAATAAACGAATAGATGGTTTATTAAATATATAAATGTGTTTTTTTTCTTCTTCTATATATTTCATACATCTATTTCTGTCATTTTCATTGTCGATTATATTTTTATTTTTTGTATTATTTAGACTAGTTTTAACAATTGATAATCAGTTATGAATTGTTTTCATTACTAGATTTTATATCAATTTAAATTGTTTTAAATGTGAGAAGCATAACCTATAGTAGTAAAAGCGAACGAGAAGGAAAAAAAAAGAAAAGAATAATGGTAGAAGAGTGTAAGTGGGTGCTTATGAGAAGAAGAAAAAAAAAAAAAAAGAAAACTGTCTGTCGTCACAGAAAAATCATGTCAGTAAAAAGAAAAAAAGAAGAAGATGAGAAAAGGAAAAAGAGAAGAGATGATAAGTTCAAGACCCTATCATTCGCATCGATCTATTCTCACGAGAAAAAAAAGGAAGAGTCAAGTGTGCAGAGTGGAAATGCGTGGTCTCGCTCTCTATCCCTCAAGGTTGCTATCGTCATCATTCCTACTATTAAAAGAAAAGTCAATAAACTTGTCTTTGCATCTTCTTTTGTTCTCATTCTATTCGAAATTAATACACAAAAATTCTCCTCATCATTAAAATAAACTTGATAGTTTACAATTAGATATCGACTTATTTGATAATATATATATATACGTATATTTAAATATAGGTATACTACAAAGTAGAATAATATTACTAGTAATGACAGTAACTTTTTGCCATCGTTATTTGACTATACGTCTCTGCATGTCTACCTATCTACGTCATTTGTTCGAAATCAGTGAAGCATAATACATATGGAGAAGGTGTCTCTTTTCTCTTCTTCTGCTCTTCTGTCGTCGTCGTCCTGGTCGTTACTGCCTTCTCTTCTTCTTCTTCTTCTTCTCGTTTTCTCGAAGAAAATACATTACGCGACGATGATAATGATGACTATGAACAGTGAGTATCAATGCAAGGATTTTTAAGGAGAAAAGAAAAACAAAGCTCATAAATAAGTATAATATTTAAAAAAAAATAATAATAAAATAAATCTAAAGTATGTTGAATAGTCAAATTATAATATATAATAGAGTAGTTAGTTTCTTATGTTATTTCTTCTTTTTTTTTGCGTTACATTTAAATATGTCGCTTTTATTACGCGAGCTTTGACAAATAGTGGCATGCTGCCTGTTTGTTTTCTTCTAGCTGTAATACGTCTCCTTCTTTTTCTTTTCTTTTCTCATATGCTCTCAACTCATTCTCAATCTCTCTTTCTCTCCTCATTCTTTTGTTGAAACGAACACACCGTGGCAGCAAAAAGTTCTTCGTATTATTAACACATCACCCTTTCTTCTTCTTCTTTTTTTTTTCTTTTTTTTCTGTCCGTGCATGTATGTGTGTGTGTGTGTGTGTGCAAGGCAGTTTTTTTCTTCTGTCATCAACATTGTTTGAACTACGTTGCTGTTTATTCGATGGTAAGAGACAATTTCTTTCTTGTTTATGAATGTATGAATGAAAAGACAGAGAAAAAAAAGTCTAAATGAGGACAAATATATGTATGTATATATGTGTACATAAGTTTTTTTTTTCATATTCATTCATAGAAGAGAAAGAAGAAAAAAAAAAGTTATATTCTTGACAGAACAGGTCAGGCTAGTACCGAAATATTATCTATCGTTCTGTTTACATACAAGTAATAGTATCGGATTTCTTTCTACTCTTTCTCATAACATAGATAGATAGGATAGATAGATCTTTTACAATACAATGATCATCGTCTTGTTTCTATGTATAGTATGTATCAAATAATGTTTGTATTAATTCTGATTCATGATCGATCATATTGTTCGATGATGCCTACTTGATCCACTTTTCTTGTCCACTATTTCTTACACTCGAACAAGCATATTCTATTGTTGTTACAGTATACAGCAACAAGTATTGTCGTTATTGTGTTGTCCCTAGAGGGGAACGTTTTTTTCTCCGTCTTTTTTTTTCTATATGAATCATGATATATATCGACAAAGTGCTCTTGCTTGGTCAACTATGCTTACTATGTCTTTTTCTCCCTTTTTTGCTACACACCTTAGGGAGTATGTTAGTATCTCATTGTCGTTTCATGCATGCATGGATTGCGAACACAAGCGTAAGATGCACGTTCGGAAATGAACATGTTATTAAAGAAAAGAAACTCTTTCTTTTTTACTGTAAAACAGCTAGTCAGTCATCCAACACTAGACTTTTCACACCTTGATACATCCATTCATTTTGAAAAAAGAAACTATATACAATGATGACTGTTTTACTATGATGGAGTAGTATGGATTTTTTTTCTTTCTTTCTGCCTTTCTTTTTTTTTCCTTTTCTCTTTGTTTCATTTGATTATTCTGCAGGAGTGTCAGTAGTACTGCTTCTGCTACTCTAGAAAAAAAGCTTCATGATGAGAATAGAGAAGAAGAAGAAGAGGAAAAAGAAGAAGAAGAAGAAGAAGAAGAAGAAGACGAAGGATGTTTTCCATCTTTTGCTCTTTCGCGTTCGGTACTGCACTATCGGTTCTTTGTCTGGGTAAAGAAAGAAGCGACAAGAACGATAAAAGAAAAAACCGAAGGAAAAATAGAGACATTTCAGTGTGCGAGCGGGAACGAGCACAGTGAGCTATATAGTAGGGATGTTGTTTTTTACGCATCTGTTATTGTTGTTGTTATTCTTGTTCGCCTTTCACGTGATGCAGACCGCCAATGCTGCTACTTCTTCTTCTTCTTCTTTACTGTTCGTGTAACATGCTCGGAGCATGAATGATGTTCAACGCACTCGTGCACATACGCGTTCGTTTTTCTCTTCTTGTTCTTCTCTTCCTCGTTCTCTTTTCAGTTTGAACAGTTGTTGGGTGTATTTGGCAAACGAGCACGATGAATGGAAGAAGAAAGAGAGAGATAGAACGAGAGAGAGCGTACTATCGGACGGCAGATTGAACGTAAGAAGGAGAGAGTGAGCGCCAACCCGCTATTTGTTCTTTTTTGACATTTTTCTCCTCCTTCTCCCATAATGTATGTACGTGAACGTGTCGCGAATGTACACACACTCTTACTTGTTTGACGTTCATAAAAAATTAAGAAACATCTAACAAAAAAAAACCATCTTATCATTCTTTTTTTTTTTGCTTCAGATAGAATATTAATAAATGTAGATGATCAATACGAATGAAAAACAGCGCCAAAAAAGCCAAATCGGCTGCATCAGTTTCCATAACTGCTGCACAACAACAATCGTCAATTGACAATAGTGGTGTGTTTTATTTTGCTTTTCTATTATATATATAGATATGTACATGTTTATTCATCGATAAGTATATTAATTAGTTTTTAGTTAATAATGGAATGGACAGTGGAACATTACCTTCAGCAACAATGTTATTACATACAAATGATTCTCATCAACAAATTCCTTCATCTGATTCTCCAATGAATCAATATTCTGATATATATTCATCTAGACAAACGAATAATAAAACAAATAAACGTAAACTAGAAGAACTTGTTGATCCATCATCAATAGATTTTGATCCATCATCTTCTGTAAAACCACAAAAAACTGAACAAAATGATTCAGAAAGATCATTAAGTAGAACAGGAACTCGTAAGTGAAATTATATTTTGAACAAAAAAAAAAAGTAACATATTTTTCTCAAATAATTCTTTAGCTTTATCTAATGGACCACCACCTTCTTCAACACCATCTCGAAATGGTAATGATATGGGTCCTGGATCCTATGATTTTGCTCCATCAGTTAATAATACCGGTAGAACGACACCAAATTCCTCATTACTCACACGACAAACACCACCACCACCATCTTTACAACAGCAATCTTTACCTCCAATAATGCCACCATCATCTTATATGTCTATGTCGCCACGTAATCAATATACAATAACCAGTGATAGTCCACTTTTACAGGCAAATAATCAAGTGTTTGTATTTACAACACAACTAGCTAATGAAGCAGCTGAATCTGTGTTAAAAAATGAACATCCAAATATAATTGAATATCATAAATCATTACCAAGTACTGCTCAATATTTATCAGTAAGTTAGAACTCTAACAAAATATATTATCAACAAAAAAAAATAGCTAAAATGTCATTTAGATGATTGTATAACTCATGGGAAATGTTTGTAATTGAGTAGTAGGCAAAAAAAAAAGAGAAGAATAAGAAAACGTTGATAAATCCCATTGGAAACTGTTTGATAATTAATAGATTTTATTATTATTTTTGTTTAGTCTCTTTCGAATAATAATCACAATCCATTACTTGGTGGTCCTCCAATGCATATGAATCCAGGACATGGATGTCCATCACCACGAACTATGCAAATGATGATGTCTGGTCCACCACATCATAATCCTCATTTACAACATCATAATGGTGGTGGACCACCACCAAATTGGTCACATCCACATTTTCATCAACAACAACCACCATTTGGTCGTTTAACGCCCGGTCCTGGTGGTTTACCACCACCAAGTCATCTTCTACCACCGGGTGCACATATGATGAGTGGTTCACCACCACCACCACATGGCATGCGTATGGGTGGTATGCCACCAATGCTAGGTATGGGTCAATCACAATCGGATGGTATTGAAAATTTAACACCTGAACGAATAAAACATCGAAAGAATCAATTAGATAAAATAAATGAAATTAAAACAAAAATTACTGGTGGACGTGGTCGTGGTGGACGAGGAAAAGCAAATGCTGCAGCTGCTGCTGCTGCTGCTAATATGCCACCATCAATGAATGGTGGTCCTATGGATCCACATCAACAACAAATGATGATGATGAACAGTCCACATAGTGTTGGTCCACCACACCATATGATGGGTATTGGACCACCACCACCTCATATGTTACCACCAGGTATGAGAGGACCACCTGATGGAATGATGCTTGATATGAATGGTCCACCACATGGTTATATGAATGGATCAATGCCGCCTGGTTTTCATGGACAATTTGGACCAGGTCCTGGTGATCCATATGGACCACTTCCTCCACATCATTCACAATCACAAGCAGTAAGAGAGTGGAATAAAATGCAAATGGAACACCTAGAAGGAAAATCTCAACAAATTCGTGGACATCCACCACCTTATTGTTCAACATCACCATCATCATTAACACCTCCAATTGCTACAACGTCAGGAGGCGGTAATCTAGGACCAAATGGTAAACTACTTTCACCTAGAATGGAATCGTCCACAATGCCACGTTTATATAAAGTTGGACAACCAGAAAAATTCATTCCAGATTCATTACCATCAGCTAATAAAAAATTACCAGGTAATATTGGTGAAGTACAATTAACATCATCACCAACACAAATGGATTACAATGAATATGGTAAGAAGAAGAAAAAAAAACAAATATATATTGTTCACAATTTTATTTCTTTCTATTTTCAGGTATGGAAGGTGAAGAATTAATAATTACTAGATATTTAAATCGAGCTTATCGACCAGGTAATGGAACAAGTGGTGGTCCATCATCGTCTTCTTCATGTAAAGATGAACCAATGACACCATCAGGACGTTCAAATAATACACCAAATAATAATTCAAATCTTTTACCACCTGGACAACAACAACAGCAGCAGCAATCTGGTTCAACAACACCTACACATCTTTCTCAAGGACATACACCACAAAATGGCCCAGTTGCTTCACCACGTTCATCAAAATTAGTAAATAATAATAACAATAATAATAATAATAACAATAATTTATCATCACCATTAATGATGTCAAATAATAATTCAACAAAAGATGAACCATTAGATATGAATAGTGATCCAAAAACACCAACATCAAATATGGCACCACCATTAAGTAGTATGCTTCAAATGACAAATAGTTTACAATCATCAAATTCGCCATATAATTCAACAAATAATCAAGGATCAAAACAATCATTAAATAGTCCAAATTTAGGTCATATGTCTAAATCAATGGAACATATGAATATGCCACCACAACATATGCAATTTGCAGTAAGATAATTTGTTTATTTATTCTCAAAATTTAATTTAAAATTTGTTTTTTTTTAGAATATGAATCCTCATCATCGTATGTTAGGACCACCAGATTCTATGCCTCCTCAATTTAATCCACATCATCCTGGTAATTTACCTCCACCACACCCACATATGTATAAAATGATGCCTCCACATCATTCAATGGATCCAAATGGAATGATGATGCATCATCCAGGTGGTCAATCACGTTCATCAAAAGGTTTAATGCCACCATCTGATCAAATGCAACAACATCTTCATCATTTACCACCACCACATTATCTTAAAATGCATAATATGGATCCATCACTTGGTCCACCACCACCTGGTCATCATCAACAACAACATATGCGTTTTTCACCTATGATGGACGATAGTTTTGGTATGGGACCACCACATCATCATCCTCATATGCATCCACATTTACATCCATCTCAACATCCCATGCATTTAAATGATGGACGACTACCTCCACCACAATCAATTAATAATACTTATGTTTCAGCAACAATGTCTATTCAACAATTAAATATTCAAAATTTAGGTCCCGGTGGACCACCAGGTGATCTTCAACCAGGAACAATTCATTATCATGCATCATCAGGAAATATGCCTGATTCTCAACAGCAACAACAATTTCCACCTAATGATTCACAATTTTCCTCTCAATTTAATGATTTACAAGCACCACCATCAAATCTTAGTGTTGATGGTGGACAACCACCGCCTTATTGGTGATCTTAAAAAAATCAAAAAATAATGTAATCTCACGTTGTTTGTGAGCACATTGTTTTTTCTTCTTTATTATTTATCTCTTATTTTCTAATTTGCGCCTGTACAAACAAAGAATCTCTCTCTTTCTTTTGCTCTTCGGGCTCGACTAATTGTATTTTTTTTTCTTTCGTTTTTTTCTCTGTTGTTATTATTGATGTTGTTCTCTATTTTTTTTCTCGTATACTACATTCACATACATACATACATATACACACAATGTCTCACTCTTATTTGTCATATGTGTGCGTATGTGTTATCAATTATTAAAAACAAAACACCGTCTGTTGCCTTCTGTTTCAACAAAAAGAAAAAAAAGCGAAGTTTTCTTTTTCTTTTTTTCTCTTTCTTTTTTTTTTATGTGTGTGATATGAACAATTAATAATAGAATTTATAAAACAATGAGATGACAAAATCAAACTAAATATCTATATGTCATTTTTAGATTTTATTTTGTATTCTTTCATTCTATATAATGACGACAAATACAGAAGGTATCATTGAGTACAAAAACATTCACTTGTTAGAGCACGCGATTGCTACAAGTTGATTTGCACGAGAAGAAAACTAAAAATTGTATATCGCAACAATAAATTTTGTTGTTTATTAATTATTAAATAGATGAAATTCTTATGATATGACAGTCATTGCAATCAACACTCACATGGTTTATATCTACAATCATAAACAGAAAAGAAAAAAAATCATCTATGACTGTCATTTGTCATGGCTTTTGTTTATTTTATGGCTATTGAATGAAACCATATGATATTTTTCCTATCAAGTTTATATACACATATATATCAGAATAAGTTTTCATATAAGTTCTTGAGAAATAAATACAATATATTTCATTATAAAAATAAAAAAAAGTATTTTGTCTATCTTGACATTATTAAATGTATCATTATTTAAGTTGTTCACAGTTATGTTTTTTTCTGATACGTCATACAACTCAGTTAAAGAAAAAGAATTAAATCGCTTTTCTTTTGAAAATACAATGTCATCATTGATTGTTCACACATTCTGTTGAAAATTTAATCTACTTTTCATTGATTATATATATATAAAAGAAATTTTTATTTTTTATTTATTTCAAGATTCTGTTTTGATGACTTTGTCACATGAGACAAGAATGACTACAGAAACTGAATTAATCTTTTCACCAGAGCGTACATCAAATAGTTCATTTCATGTATTCTCCAGCAAGAAAGTGAGAACCAAAAACAAAAATCATTTTCATTGATTTTTCTTACATATAGTTCATAATATATATTTATTATTAAGGCAAGTCGTCGAAGAATTGCTATAAATCAACCACCAAAACCTGTTTCGTGTCGTATTTATCGATATTTTACACCAGCTGCTAGTCGAATAGCAAATGCTGTATCAGTAAGTTCAAAAACATTTGGTGTTGGTATGTATTATATTAAATTTCGTGATCTAATTTAACTTTTGTTGAATATATTCAGCTTTAGAAAGTCCATTTTATACGAAATCAACTACATCTACGTATTGGGATGAATGTTTTGAACATCTTGAATGTCTTGGTCGTGGTTCATTTGCTGAAGTAAGATAATACTCATAGTTATTTGAACAATTTCTTTCTATTCTTACAAAAACGAGTGCATTGTAAACCTTTAAACCGTACAGAATTTTTACAAAAAAAAATTTCTCGCCCCCCGGAAAATGCAGTTTTTAAAAAATTCCCCCCTTCGCGTGGGGGGGGGGGTATACGAGGAAGATTCTGTACCTCTGAAACTGTAGGTTTAATATTTGCAAGCTTAATCGAATGATTATTGAAGAGAAATTCAATATTCTTTTCTGCATTGATAAGTAGTATACTTCATATATTTCTCAGACAATTATATCAGGAATCTTATAGTAATTCAGTTACATATGACTTGTTATTCTCAACTAAAATCGATCGAATTGAATATTTACGAGTCTACATTCTAGACATAAATAAAAAAACAATTATAATTTAATTATTATATTTCTCTTAAAAAATATATATTACGACTGGTAGAATAACCCTAACTAAATGAATATTTGTTCTTATCTTCTAGGTATATAAAGTTCGTCATAAAGAAGATAATCAATTATATGCAATTAAACGTTCATTAACAAAATTTCGTGGCAAATCCGATCGGTAAAAAAGTTTCTGAAAAAAACAAACTGTCTTTCTAATTAAATTTTTCAGTGATCAAAAATTAAAAGAAGTTCGTTTTCATGAAACACTTACTACACATAGAAATATTCTTAAAATAATTCATGCATGGGAAGAACGTGAACGTTTATATATTCAAACTGAACTTTGTCAAAGCAAGTATGTTAATTAATAATTTCATATACGAATATATATATATAATCTTTCTCTTTAAAGTTTACTGGAATATTCTGCAGAACATCAAATAAGTCAACCAATGATTTGGCATTTTCTTTTTCAAATAAGTCAAGTAAATATTAAAATTTTAAGTTTCTTTTTTTTTCTATTAAAATAAATCTTTATGTAGGCTCTTGTTTATCTTCATTCATTATATTATGTTCATATGGATGTATGTTTATAACCTTTTAAGAAAATTATCGTAATCTTTACATTTTTTATTGAAGGTTAAACCAGAAAATATTTTAATTACAAACGATGGAATTCTTAAACTATGTGATTTTGGTATTGTACATGATTTACGAAGTGTAAATAAATAATTAAGAATTTTGAAAAAAACTGATTGAATGTTGTTGTTTTTTTTTGTGTAGCCATCAACATTAGCACAAGATGGTGATGCACGTTATCTTGCATTTGAAGTTCTATCGGGAACAATATCACCAGCTGCTGATGTATTTAGTTTAGGTTTAGCAGCACTTGAATTAGTTAGTGATTATGATATGCCTGTGAATGGTGATGTTTGGACAGATATTCGAGAATTAAAATTACCAATTGAAATAACATCAGTATTAACTGATTTAGATTTAAGAAAACTACTTTTTCGAATGATTCATTCGAATTATCAACAACGACCAACAGCAAAAGATGTATTTGATAGTCCTACAATTCGAGAAGAAGTAAGACAAAAAAAACACGAAGATTTATTTGAATCCTTTTTTATTTAGATTTGTAATATGATTTCACCATTTGCATTTAATCAACATAGACATGAACAAGTTAGATTAAAAAATATTTTAATAAGTTTTTATTTTTATTTACCTATAGACTCTTTCATCAATGAATAGTCATGATTCTCCTATTAGTCATGGATGTCGAACACCGACTAAAAAACCCAAACGACCACCTAATTATGGTGGTTATCATGATGAACATTCAGATGGTTCGAATAAATTTACTTTTCTATATCATCTAATTTTTCTATCTGATTTTTTAGAAGATTTAAAACAACTTTCTATTCATGATCATTCACAAGTGTAAGTTACAATTATTCTAAGACAAAACATGTGTATTATGTCATATTTCGAAGAAGAACAGACATTTCTATTGTTTAGTCATATGTATATTTAGATAGCCTATTCAAAAATTGAGGTATTTTTTATAAAGAAGTATGATATCCGTCATTATTCTAATCTTTGCTGTTTCATAATAAGACCATCATAAAAGATTCCGAAGAAAAAACAGATAGTTTCTAGAGTGATATCAATTATATCATTTCGAACCGGTTATACATCAAACTTACTTAGAATGATTTCTAATCAATAGTAACTATATTTATCTTTTTGTTGTTTAGAACACCACCGCCACCACCGGTTGCTGCTGATCCACTTCGAGTTCGTCTTTTTCCTACTGATTCTGATGAAGATACTAATGATAATCATGTTTATTTGTAAGTTTATATTTCTTTTATGATAATATATAATTTATTTTTCATTTAGTCGAAAATCTCCAGTTAAATTTAAATTCGATAGTAGTGGTGCTGAAGATTAAATGAAAATGAAAAAGCTTTCGTCTATTTTTCCGGTGTTTACTTTCACTACATATGTCAGATTAAAATAAGAGTTATACACAGTTATCTATTTGTCAATCTTGATTTTTTTTTGTTCTTATTGTAATATTGTTACTGTTTGTAAAAAAAAAGAAATGAAAAATATATATTAGCAAGAGAAATGTCTCATATAAATATAATTTTATATTAGGATAATAATCAATATAGTTATTTATTTACTTTTGTTCGTTCGAATCAAATATGTTTATGTTGAAGTATTTATTTAGCTATTAGAAAAGAACATTCTAACAGCAAAAATTGGAATACGATCCATTCATAAATAACACATATGTTTAGTGACTCGATTTTTTGAATGAAATAATTCAAGCTATTCGTATAAAACTGTCTTTCTTTCAATCAATTATTGTCTATAATGTCCTTCTCAGTATAAAACGCATATTCCATTAACAACAAATAACTGTGAAGAATATTTTCCTTGATAAAATTTTCCAGTAAAAGTATACTATGTTTATATCATGGTCATTTTTATGTTCTTTTTTCTTGAATAGTTTTAGCAAAAAATAAGTTCTAGTTTGTTGATTTATTCTTAGCTATTGTACATCTTCAGATTCAATCTGATTGTTGTGAAAATTTCGAAAAGTGAATGTCAGTATTCATTAATAATGATGGATAAATAAAAAATATGACTTACTTCTGGCTAGATATCATGCGCCCTTGATCATCAAATCGATTTCTTCAAAGATTACTTTACCTTGCTAGTTTTCATCATTTCTGCTAGACGCTTCAGTTTCTATACGATAGTCTTATGACATCGAATGTGATGTACAGTTATTGTCTATATAAAAATTTCAAAGATTTAGTCGCTTTTGATAGTGCATTTTCTTTAATATTTGAAAAGCACGATTTAATAAGAATAGAGAAAAACATCAGAAAAATAATATTTGAGAAATATTTTCAATCGCCTATCTATAATGTACATCGAACACTTTCTCTGCTCTAAATATAGTTTACGTTTTATTCATGTGTTCATGAAGTGCCCTTGAATTTTATTTTGCTTCATTATTTCAGATCTGACTCATTATTGATCTGCTAGATGAATGACTTCTTCACAATAGGAAGGATGTAGATGTGACTGTATGTGAAAGATATATTTCTTAGCGAAACTCATACTCACATCCACTATATATATATCGAATCATGACGTCAATTTAGTACTCGGTTAAGAATTTTCCGGAAATAAACGTTACCTTTATATTCAATAACATCCGAGCTATTTATATTTTATCTCAATAGTATAACATTAATCCCGTTGTAATTCAATTATCATTTCACTTAAAATTGATTAGAATCAAATATTTTTTTAATTTTTTATCCTTTTAAAGAAGAGATGCGTAGAATATGCAACATACTGTAGTGTGAAAATAATTCTGCGGAATTATAGGCAAGAATAGTACCGGAAATAAATATTATAATCGCGTCTGAGTTTTAAAGACAGGAATTGATGGAAAGGAAATCGGATGTGTTTACCGGGATCGTTAAGAGCACGTTGTGTATAACATCTGTTGAAACGCAAATAAGATCCCGCCGATATATCTAATATTAATTTTGCAAATTTTATTCTCGAATGTTTCATCAATTTCCGAGCAAATATTCCAGAAAAGAAAGTAAGAAAAATTTTAGAATTTCTACTCGAGAATACTTCGAACCAATAATTCAACATTTGAAATGTAATTATTTTTACCTATGTTAACCCTTTGAGTCCCACCTAGCAAAAAATTCTAGTTTTTAAAAAATTTCGAATATATTTAACAAATGTTCGTAGTTACGACATATTTGTGAGAGATTAAAAACCCTACTGAGTCAGTTTTTCGGCTCCCGTTGGTACACCTCCAGGGAAGTGGCTAAAATATTTGTCATGATTCCCGTAGGGGGGTACGGCTAAAAGCTAAAAATGACTTAAAATATTTTTTTAAAGTATCAATGGAAGTGTCGATAATACTCAATGCTCATATAAAATATCAAGTTTTTAAGAGGTTTCGTCCATAGATTAAATCGTGGGTCTCAAATGGTTAAATCAATTAGTTGCACTCTATTTCACTAAAAATTATTTGAGATAATTGAATGATTCATCTATTAAGTAATTCTTATGCAGAATCTTCTCCAATTAAAACGCAATGCTCTTCACAAATATTTGCATCACTAGTCAGATCAATATCTTATAAATATATTTTTTTCATGATAACTAATGTGTTTTTACGGTATATCTTTTCACTCCTACATAATCAACATGCGTAGTATACTTTATGAGTAAGAAAATCTATCCTTCCGTCACGCTCAGTTACACAAATGCACTACTACCTATTGCGACATTACAGCAATAATGACATATATATCGATATATATACATTGACTATACTTTATTTATACAATACCCATATTCATTATAAACAAATTTTAGATCTCATATGTTATATCATTATATTTAGTATGTATTACAGAGTCCTCTTTCGATTGTATAGAAAAGAATTAAACTTTGAATAGAAATTTTTGTTTTAATAAATGTAATAAAAGTAATTTATGAAATTATTTTATTTTTATGTAAGATTTTATTTATATGGATATTATTTGACTAGATTATATCACAAGACATCCGATATAATATGAAGAGAATTCTCTATCCAATAGATATTTAGCGTTTTGTTCGTTTCTTTTTTTTTCTGACGCCATCATATCTTGTTTTTCCCTTGCACTAACTGACATTTCACCGAACGTTCTAGTAGAGAAAAATATATATATATAAGAAAAAAGCTTTTCCTTCCTTACTAACATTGTTTACAAGCTTGTCATTATATTTTTCCGTTTATTTTCTCTTAACATCACTAGAAAAAAAAGAAGATTCTTAACGAAAGCAACTTATTTTTTTTTTCTAATGGAAATACTTGTATTTTTTAGATAGCAAACAACAAGCAACTTTTCACCGTCAATTATTCTTCTGTTTTTTCCCTCAATAAATTAAGAGAGTGGCTTTCTTCTGTGAACTAACGTTCTCGGGTGGTGAGTTGTTGTTTTTTTCGCGATATAGATTTCAAATGAATTATTTTTAAAATTTTAGATTGGATGTTTTTAAGTTTATGGTATATGTTATTTGAAAGCAGACGTCATGCCATGCACATTGTTGTCTGAATACATTAATAGTATGTTTAAATTTATTTTTTTTAATAAATTAAATTATATAATTTTTGTTTTAGGTTCTTTTGGCTTTGCCTTCAGCTATACCTACTGGTATTCGTATTACTGGCTGTATGGCACAGATTATAAACATGTATGTTGTTTATTTTAGTGATTAAAAAAAATATATATATATTTTTCTTTTTTAAGTTCGAATTCAGCTGATTATCAATCTATGATTCGATCAGCAACGCCATCCGAAGATGAAGATGATTTAAACAATGAAAATCATTTTCTCACCCCATCTTCGGACATAGATTTCTCAACAAATAATGGCGTTGTTAATCAATATTCAACTGTAGAACTAAATCAAAATGATAATGATTCAATTAATACTGATGATTTATCACAATCTACAACACTAATTATTCCTCAATATCATACATATTTAAATTTAAGCTCATCAGGCAGTGAAACAAGCCTTGCTCGACCACTTCTCAATGAAAAAAATCAAACATATCCAGTCTATACTCAAGATGTTATCATAAAATCCACAACAGATACATTGAAAACAAATTATTGTTCATTTATTAAACTTTATTTAACAGATATGTTTATATCAGCATTTATCATAACACCATTTGTTAATTTACATTGGCGCGGTGCTTGGGATTTACTTGATATATATTTATTACCGGATTCTCCACGTACAAGTGCACTTATTTCACTAGCTATTGGTTTTGTTATACTTTATTTCATCTATTTAATACAAAACTGTCTTCAAAATTTCTATGAAAAATATCGAAAAAATCTCTTAGGCCAAGTTATGGCAAGATTATATACATTAATCATGGCATTTGCTTATATTAATCAATGGCGTGGTTTATGGAATTTATTAGATTTAACAAGTAACAACTGGTATCATTTATTTATTGAAACATTTATAAGTGTTACATTTCTTATAATAATGAAATCAATTTATAATCTTAATTCAGCACCATTTTTAATCGGTATTGATACTGACAGTTATTTTATACTTGGTTCAAAATATACTATTACAGTACGTAAAAGAATTATTATTATTTTGTAGAAGATAGCAAAAAGTACTAAATAGAATTAGAAAGAAATTATATGACTAAGACTATGCATTAGAAAATTCTACGATTGATATAAGAACAATAGAGTTGATCAAATCTAAAGAAATTCTCATAAATTATCAATTTTTTGTTCTTCTATTTTGACATCTTAATAATATTAATCAATCAGAAATATTTCATGTGATTTAGTTTTTCTTTCGTACACATTGAAAATGTATTTTAACATGATAATTAAATTTAAAAATATTTTTTCTATTATTTAGGCAAATCGTTTTTGGCAATATACATTTGATTTTATACTTTATGAAATTGTTGAAGCACCATTAGTAGTCATTGCATGGCGTGGTTTATATAATCTTTCTGATCTATATATATCTCCTGATAATAAATCAATATCAATGTTAATCTCATTTACAATTGGTTATTCATTATTTTTCCTTCTTGCTCTATTACAAATTCCAATAATTCAATGTTTAATTAAAAAACATCATAAAAATGTTTATTCATTTATATCAAATGTTTTTCATTTGATAGCATTTATTAGTGTTGTTCAAATCTGGCGAAGTTTATGGATGATGTGTGAACAATATATTAATATCCCAGGTTATCATCATTTAACACTTTGGCTTTGCTATATAGTCGCTTATGGTGTGTTGACATGTGGCTTGGCAGCATGCTCATTAAACGGACCAGGTGGAGCAAAAGATAGTTATATTGATGATCAACCAATACTTCTATTTAAATTTGATTATATTTCAACATTATTAAAAGTAATATTAATAAAAAATCTAGTTCATTTGTTTTTCTAATGATTAAATATCTGTTGTTGTTTTTTCTAGACTCAATCAGATCAATTAAAAGCAAAAAATATTAATAATCTTGGTTCAGATTCATCATCAACAGAAACAATTATGCCTGGAGAATGTCCGTATCGATTTGATCCTCCCTAGTGGGAAATATCGAAAAAATTCTTATCTAATACCATATCGTAAAATAATTCGTTTTTGTTGTTCACAAACTATCAATAGATTTCGTTGTTTGATTCAACCCAATGATTAGGAATAAAATTGTACATTCCTCTTATGATCTCTGGTTATTGTTGTTTCTTTTTTTCATATTCTTCTTTTCCTATTAATATTATAACTCAGAAATATTCATTTATCTTTGTTGTTATTACTTATTGTCAGTAGTACTGTTGTTTTCTATTAATTTAAGTAGATATGAAAATTTGTTGCGTATTTCTCATCGAATTTACAGACATTTGTTTTTTTTTCTGCAGTTCATCTATTGTTTGTTTGCTTATTTCAATATACATGTAATTAGTTGTTTAAAATAAATCAAAGGAAAATAGTTCATTGAAAATCATGTCATTCTTATGAAATATAAATGATAACATATCGTATAAAGAATATCCTTGACAAAGAATTCTTATCAGAATATTCTCGGTTTTTTTTGCAGAAGACCATGAACACAATGGTTGATAATAAGATTAATCATATAGTTTCATCTGATGTAATTTTGTTTCTGTTACGAATAAATTTTTGTCATATGATTTAATTATTTTTAAATTGATTATAGAAGTTTTTGGTTAGTGGATGAACAATTCTGGACTTTGACCATATTGTGTGAGAAAAAAGAGAATCAATAGTGATATGATGATAGCACTTATGAGAAATATTTTCATATCAGGGACATTTTTATCAAGGATATTTATCTTGAAGGATATTTTCTCAAGGACAAAATGTTAAGTACGTTTTGAAGGACATTTCACATTATATTCGTATGTCATATATATGATAGATTGATAATTATTTTTATTAACCTATATTTAATATTTCCGAAGTTTGAAATGAATTTCTTTATTAATTAAAATGTAAATATCAAGTTTATTTTATAATAAGAAAAGGCAATTATTTTCAACGGATTTTAGATTTTTGGATTACTCTGTCTCTTGCGCGCTCATTACTGATTCTGTTTTTTCTGCATGCTATAACTAAATTTTACAGATTTACTACATGTTGAGAGTATTAAAGGACTAAGAGCAATCCTAATTTGTTTTCTCGAGGTAATTTTGTCTAGACTTTATAAATTTTTATCATAGTTCATGTCGATTATCCGAGTAAGGATAAAAGCTTTAACTGAAGTACTATTAATCATATTGATTTCCGAGTTATATCCAGATCTCAAACTAAATAAAGACAAGTAATGTCGACGATAGTAAAAAATATTCTCAGCAGTTGCATTTGTTACTAGAATAAAAGTTAGCTGTGTAAAACAAAATATAAACTTGATGATCTTTAAGTTTCATTGAACTTTGATTATTATGAAGAGTATATCAGTACATATCTACCTAAATTTATAGCACATGCATAGATAAATATTCAGTATTAACGTATTTTTCTGATATAATCAAATACAACAATAAGATCGAAGAAACTTCGATAAAAGACAATGGCTGGAATCATAATACTAAGTAGTATCAATTAAATGACGGAAATTCATTAATAGCCGTTATTTGATGTCATAAATAAATCTCAATCAAGTCGTAATAAATTTTTTGTATGTACCTAGCGCCCTCACATGTTCAATAAATTGAATGGTTCATTGATTGAACGATTAAAACGCGCGTCTTTGTTCGTTCGTTTCGTATAAAAATAAATCAATCAATTCGAAATAGCAAAATCATCTGATCATGTACGAAAAACCTAAAACACCACAATTTCGAGCAACAAAAATGGTATATACAATTCTTTATTCTATATTTCTTATAAAATCTTTTAATATATTTAGTGGAATAATCTTGTTCAAAATTTTCGTGCATCAATTAAATTAAAGAAGAAACGTCATTTTTTTAAGACATATCAAAATTGTTTTTCCTCATCAGATGCTATAACATGTATGCTCAATATTTTACAACAACAATCGTCGGGTAGTAATGCTTCGTCGGTTACACGGTATGAAAAATGCAATTTTTAATTTTGCTTAAAAAAATATATTTCTCATTTTAGAACACAAGCTATAACAATTCTTCAATCACTTTATAATGCCAAAATATTTTCTGATATTAAAGATGATTCAACTCGAATAGATGCAAATGATTCCAAACAATTTTTAGATAATAATAAAATTTTCAAGTATATCACAATTTATTGATTTGATATATTTTTATTCGAAATAATTTTAGACTTTTGCCACAAGCAGAAGAAAATCTTTTTCCAACAGTTCCAACATTGGATGATAATAAATCTTTAAGTTTACCTTCAAATAATGAAACAAAAACATCATTTTCACCTTCATCAGTTTTTGAACTGATGTATGCATTTGCTCGACAAAAACGTCGACAAAACTCAATTAGTTTATTTAAACCTTAATAATATAAAAATTGAAAATTCTCCCGACACATAATTGTACATATCTATATAGAATTAATTCGTTGTTTCTTATATACATATATATAATAATCTTGTTTTTTTCTTAATAAATCGAAAGAAGATGTGATTTAATTGGTATTTTGTTGTTGTTTTTCTTCTTCTTTTTTTAATCGATTGAACAAGTTATTTCCGTATTAGACAATAAACATATATATATAGGAAGTTGTTCGTTTAAGAATCAATGCAATACTCAATATATAAAAGCAAGCAGAACATCTTTGGCGTATAGTGGGCGTTAAAGTTGTTGGACAAATAAAAAATAACTTCCGACCTAATATTCTTCTATCATATATGCCTGATGAAGAAGTTGTCTATTTGTTCGTTTACCGGCTTCTAAATTCATATGAAAAAAGAAAAAAACATAAGCGTATTGTTATGTCTTTATTTTCTCTATTGAAAATAACAAGTAGTTTTTATATTTATCCTCTATCTAACGTGTTATTTTCATAATACAAAAATTTCTTCTTATATTTTAATTATTGGAAAATAACAGGAAAAAGAATTGGCACGGATTTTAATCGGTTTTTCTTGCTTGCTTTCTCTAATAGACCATCATTTTATTGTTGTCTTAAGAAAAAAATGTTCAAGTATGTTGGCAAGCATACAATAAAAGAGAGAGGGGAGGGAGAGAAAACTCAAGTTGCTTCTTGCTAAGTCAGGATGTTTGATGAACAACGAAGAAAAGAGAAAAACTGACATTGAAGAAGAAATCCAATCAAGATTAGATTGATTCATCGATTTCTCAAAATATATATCGTAACATGGATAAAAGCTTCGGAGCATTATATAATAAATTATCAAATCTATTTCATTCCAATCCTTCAACAACAACAACAACGATGGCATCATCTGTACCTGAAACAGGTTCATCAGTACCATTATCAACATTTTTAGATCGAATAGTTCCAACAACAAATAATTCATCAGCTAATCAATCTCATCTGACATCTCGTATATCTCGTCAAATATCAATTAAAACAAATGAAAATCAAAATAATAATAATAATACTAAACAAGAAAAGTAAGATTTTAATTCTGCTTTTTTTTGGCTTGTACTAGAATTCATCTAATGAGAAAAAAAACAAAATTCCGATAAATAAAAATCTGTTCTTGATTCGAAACATCATTTCCTTTTCTTGCACATATATCAGAATAAACAGTATGATTAAAGTTACACAAGTAACACTTTCTTTATCTTATCATAATAATAATCATCAACATCAATTCCCTTTACAACGGCAATGTTTTATTAGAAAATGGTCTACTTTTATTTTCAATTATCGCATATATATTCTTTCCTTTTTTTTAAATAGTTCAATTAAACAACAAGATAAAGATCAAAAAACTGATCAAAAAGAAAATTTATCTCAATCTCAACATGAATCAACAGCATCTGTACCAGGCATGGATGATGAAGAATTTCGTCGTCGAGGAAAAGAAATGATTGATTATATAGCTGATTATCTTAAAAATATCAAGTAAAACAAAAGTTTCTAAACTGTAATAGAATTTTTCGAATTCTTGACTAGTGATCGACGAGTTACACCTGAAGTTGAACCAGGTTATTTACGACCAATGTTACCAAAAAATGCACCAGAATCAAGTGAAAAATGGGATAATATAATGAAAGATGTTGAACGTGCAATCATGCCGGGGATAACACATTGGCAACATCCACGTTTTCATGCATATTTTCCAGCTGGAAATAGTTATCCATCAATACTTGGCGATATGCTTTCAAGTGGGCTTGGAATTGTGGGTTTTTCTTGGGCAGCAAGTCCAGCATGTACTGAACTTGAAACAATTATGCTTGATTGGATTGGTATGAGAAATCTATTGACAGTTTTGCCAAGAACAGGAAATATTTTTTGATTTAATACTAGGTCGAATGATGGCATTACCTGTTGGTTTTCTTCCATTTGATCCAAATCGTGATAATAAAGATAGTGATGATGAAGAAGAAGAGGAGGAGGAGGAGGAAGAAGAAGAAGAAGAATCATCTCCTGAAAGTGACGATGAATCAAGTGAAAACAATGTACATGGTTCAATAACTAATGGAGAAAATAGTCATGAACAAAAACAGTCGAGACATATTGGCGGTGGTGTTCTTCTTGTAAGAAAATTTTGTTTTTAGATACTAAAATGATTTTATTCTGAAGTACATGTAAAAACATTTATTTGTTCTAATAGGGTTCAGCAAGTGAATGTATTCTTGTTGCAATGTTGGCTGCTCGTACAAAGAAAATAACAAGTAAACGTCTGGCTGATCCATTAATGGAAGATGGACATATTTTAGCTCGACTTGTTTGTTATACATCAAAACTCGTAAGATTTTTAATTATAAAATAAAAGAAGATTTAGCATTTTTTTTCAAAATTCTAGGCACATTCATGTGTCGAAAAAGCAGGTTTAATTTGTATGGTTCGTGTTCGACAATTGGGTGTTGATGAACATTTTTCATTACGTGGTAAAACATTAGAAGAATGTATTCGAGCGGACAAAGAAAAAGGATTAATACCATTTTTGGTTTGTCATTTATTTTAATAATTTTTCTATGAATAATTTTTTTTACCTAAATTTAGGTTTCGGGTACATTAGGAACAACATCATGTTGTTCATATGATAATCTAGAAGAAATTGGTGAAATATGTCAACGTGAAAAACTTTGGTTTCATGTTGATGGTGCCTATGCTGGCAGTGCTTTTCTTTGCGAAGAATATCGTTATATAATGAAAGGTTTACAAGTAAGAATAAAGAAATTATTCAAAAAAAAAACGATTAATTAAAATTGTTTTGTTTTTAGTATGCTGATTCATTTAATACAAATCCGAATAAATGGTTATTAATGAATTTTGATTGTTCATGTTTTTGGTAATTTTTTCTGAAGTTAATTTTTATTTAATAAAACATATTTTCAGGGTTCGAGATAAATTTGCATTGATTAATGCGATGTCTGTTGATCCACTTTATCTTCAACATAAACATGCACAAAAAGCAGTTGATTATCGTGTAAGTTAATTCGTATCTAAGCAAAATCAAATCGAATATTTTTATATAGCATTGGGGTGTTGCATTAAGTCGTCGATTTCGTTCACTTAAACTTTGGTTTACAATTCGTAGTTATGGTATTGAAGGTCTTCGTCATTATATTCGAGAAGTATTTGGATTTTATATATGAAAAGAAAAGAACTATTTTATTTTATTTTTAGCATTGTCGTTTAGCAAAAGTATTTGCATCATTAATCAATACTGATAGTCGTTTTGAAATTATCGGTGATGTTACATTAGGTCTTGTTTGTTTTCGTTTGAAGGTAAATGAATTATTATAATTAATAATAGTCTAACTATATCTCATATTGTTTTCTTTTAGGGTAGTAATAAATTAAATCAAAAATTACTACTATCATTAAATGATTCGGGTTTTATTCATATGGTACCATCCATGGTTAATGATATTTATATCATTCGTTTTGCTGTTTGTGCTAAATATGCTAGTGATGATGATATGAGTGTAGCATTTCATATAATTCAAGAACATTCTAAAGATGTTTTAACAGAATATCGTGCTCAACGTGTTGGACGAAAATCATCATCGAATGATTCACTTGATTTAAATGCAAAACAAACAGGTTCTACAAATAATACTGAACATGATACAGCTGTAGCTGAAGAAACTGCTGATCCAGAAGTATTAGCAGAAACACCAGTTGCTCCAACAATTTATCCAATAACAAAAGCTCGAGTAAATCAAATGAAATTACTTTAATAGCAAATAATTATTTATAATTTTAGGCAAATACAATAACAACAATAACTCCACATCATCGTGTTACATTTGAAAAACCAATAGCAAATTTACTTAAAGATAAACGACCACGTCCAATGTTTGTTCGTATGGTATCTGATGCAAAATTATATTATCCAAAACGAACTACATCACAATTATCTCGACAAGCATCATTAGCAACACCACGTGCACGTAAACGTATACAAAGTGATTCAGGTAATCATACAACACGATCATCAAGTGAAAAATATTTATCACGTACAGTGAGTATTTTAGAAACGGTTAATTCCGATGAAGGAGAAATTGATGATAAACGATAAAAAAAAAATTTTTTTTTTTGTTGTTTTTTTTCTCTTGAAACAAACAGAGTGAGATTCATAATAATGACAGTGTGTTTTTTCTCTCGTCTCTCTTTATTGGTGAATGGATTGTACGGTGATTCTCGCTCTTTTATTTTATTCATATTTATTCAATTTTAAATATTTATGTTGTTTGTAAAGTGTATATCTATATATTGACATATTTTATTCATTGTGTGTTTGTATTTGACATATTTATTCAATGTTTTCGTCTTCTACAATAAAATTATTAGATTTTTTTTCTTCATGTAATGAATAGTGCTATCGTATATAAGCAACTAACATTGGCCTCTAACTGTGCTATCAAAACGAACTTGAATAATTATCAAGCGTTATAATAATTTATTCGTAGATCTACTTGTGCTGTTCTCGATGTTTATGTAATATATATATATTTTTTCCCTAGACATACGAGATAATAAAACGAATATAATGCAAGAAACGGATGACATTTACAGTTAATAACTATGGAAAGCTGATATATAATTTGTGGTTCTATAAAATATACTATTCGTCTGAATGGATAAAAAAAAGCAGACAGAGAGAGGGAGAGAGAGAAAGTTTATGAAAATAAATACTAAAAAGCATTGTTATATTATTCTCATAGTTATTAGAAGTCGGACATGACTAATTAAGGAGTTGATTTACCTATTATGGAATCACAGAACTGAAAAATGACACGTATTGATTCACTTCAACATTTTCTACTGGTAAGAAAAAAGAAACCCCTACTAATTCGAAATTTTTCTATGGCTCTAATTAATTTCATATTAAAGTAGTTTTCGTTATTATAACTCAATTAAATAGATAACATTAGATCGTATAATAATTAAAATAACAACATGGATAGCAAATGTGTAGATTGTAAATTTATTTTATAATTTAATTGTGTATTAGTTTTGTAATACAGAGTAGTTCGAGGAAAATAGATTTGATATAAACAGTATTCATGAACTATCAGTATTTGCTGATTGTTTATAATAGAATGAAGAAGAGGAGAGGAAAAAAAATGATCCCTTGCGGGTGTAGAACTATGTACACTCTACTAGTTGTGTAAATGCTCTCAATTAGTTCTTTAATACAAGATATTTAATCTCCGTTTAGCGTCGAAATGTATCATTACTGATGTTGATAGAAAAGAGAAGAATCTAATCTAATGATTTGACGTATTTATTAAAAATATATTCAATATAGACATGATTAAAGAACAAAAAAAAATTTATTTATTTTACTAACAAAACATATATTCATGAATTAATAACTAATCTTTGTAACTACCTAATTTCATTGTTGAGTATATAATTAAAATTATCGTGTCAAGTTGATGAAAAGAATATATTATTGTAAAAACACAAATATCTATTATTGTAGGTTAAACAATAATGATATATTATTCTACAAAATGACTAATCTGTTCATCTGTGCAACTGTTTCAGTGTTTTTTGCTGCCGACAATACCCATCATTAATTTTTTCCTGTGCAAAGTTGGTATTGCAAATAACTTATCGTTGGTAAAACAATCAATACATATACGTAATTATGGTAAACTCATCATAAGTAGTTAGTTCTATGTCTAGACTATTTTGTTTTTCAAACTTTAATCTATTTTTTTGTTTATACATTAATTTCTTAAGATTTTCTAAACACTTTCTTATTCTATCGTAACATGTTTACACCATGAACTTTCGAGATTTGGTATTTATGGATTTTCCTAGTGCCATTATTTGGCTGCTCTTATTATTATATGTCAACTCAAAAAAAAGATATGGAATCAATTATAGATATAGTGAATGGATATTTTCTTTGGGTTCTTGAGTACTCGGTGATTGTAAATAAGCATTGCAGATATTGAAGAATATTACGAGATAGAAAAAAGAATCAGACGTAACGTTTTTTGATGTACATGACTATGATGATGATGATGATGATGAGATCTTTTTTCCGATAATAATTATCGTTATTCGTCGTCAATAATAGAACAAAAGAATAGAGGAAGACGAGAAAAAATTTGCTTTCCGAAAAAAAATCGCTTCATCGTTCTCTTAGTTATTTGTTCATATTTCCTTGGGGACAATCTCATTTACTGTCTTTTTTTTTGCTAGCATACTAGACTAGATAGATGTTTATTTTGCTATCTCCGAATGAGTTCTTATTTCATGTCAATGTCTATTGTCGTATTAATAAATAAGTACAATTGTATTTCTATCTCTAGATTAACATCAACAATATTCAATGTATGATAATCATAGAATTGTTGTTATAGTATTGATAAGATTATTAATATAGATAATTTCAAAGATGGATGAGGATATTGCCAAAAGTAGTGCCTATGCTGAGCAGGTAAATAATTCTACAATGTTTATTTATTTTTCTTCATCAATAATGGTAAATTAATATTAAATAAACATATATAATAGATAGTAGATATAAAAGTAATGTTTTCATGTCCGAAGAAATTATATTTGAAGTAAAAATAGTTTAGTATCCTAATCAACTCTTGATTAAAGACTTTGTAAACGAATGTGTACATACTACACAATGACAGATAATCTTGACTAATACAAAGAGATGTTTGTAACTTGACTGATTAATAGATATGTCAATTTAAAATAATAAATAGAATAGAATCCAAGGAAATTAATGTAGAAATATTGGGATAATAGCAAACGAATAAACGACTTTTAGTTAACATGTTTTATTTATACCCTTGGGAATAAGTTCTATATAAAAAAGATTAAAGAATCAGTAGTCAGATTCATCTAAAAGTGTATGATAACAAGAATTTTATAAAAATATAATCTATTTTTATCTTACATTGGATAATCTAATAAGGAAGTGGTTACGTTAGATTCAAATCATGATTTTATAGACGTTTTATGACTATATTAATTTGAGAACTAAATAAATTGAATTAGAAAGAACACGATATTGTAATATTATTCATGATCTATAACATCAACAACAAAAAAACATGTTCTTAGTTTTATACAATGCGTGATGATAGATTAATATATTTCCTCCAAACTAAATTTACAATTATTTTTTTTTATCTTACTTTTCATCATGATAATAATAACCTCTTTTCTGTTATTTCCTCAATTAAAATATTTTATTATTCAAGTATTCATATTTGTTCTCCATGGAAATAGTATGAGAATTTTAATATCGAATAAAAAAAATCTAGGTATCTTGTTTATTATTCTTTTATCAATGTTTATAATATTAACCTGGATATAGATATTTATTTAGACTAGAATCCTAATAGATTCAAGCTTGTACTTGTTTTATATTTCAAGTTAAATCTATATATAGACATAGAAGAATCTGAATGTAGCAGATATTTTCTATCAGTAAGAAATTCAATTTCTTTGCAAAATAATATAAGCAATCATGAAATACTTCTATGTTAACATATTTAAATTATTATAATGATTTAGTGAAAATAGCATGTCGCAAACAATATCTTATACTTCATTTATTATTTTTTTTCCTTTTTTCTCAATGAATGCAATTATCTAGTTTAAATACATAATTATCGATAACGTGCGTTAGGTACTTCATTGCATTTTACCGAACTTTGCATAAAAGTAATAGACTAGTTTGAGAAAAAAAACATTTTTTTTATTTGAATGGGGGGAATGGGTGATTCTGTACGTAATTTTCTACTTGGTGCATGTATTATGACAGTAAGTAAATCAATTAAAATTTTTAAAGATGACAGATTGACAATTTAAATAAACGTTTAATAATTTTTTTCTACTATAAAGTCAAAGAACACTTTAGGATATTTAGTATTTAAAAAAGTAAAATAATGATTTCTATTTTGTATCATATACGTGAAAATCAACCAGCTAGATATATACAGGTAAAGTTTTAATACATCTTTTTTGAAGACTTTTATTCTCAATAGTTCTTCTGAGAAACTGAGTAAAAATGTAAATATTCATGAACTGATAGTAATACGACTGTCAGCTAACAATTGAGAAGAAAATGTATATGACATATCTTAGAATTAGCAGTCAGTACTTGTTAACTAATAATAAAAACAAGTGGAGTATTCAATTGATTATTATTAACTTAGTAATTGTAATATAGAATCAAGTATGTCTCTATAAATAGATATATGTGTAGTGTAATAAAAAAAGGGAGAAGTAAGCTAAAAGGAATAAAAAAAAAAGCAATATTAATCTTTATCATTGCTATCATCTAACTGCTCATTTTGCTGTGTTCTTTATCTTACCCATTATTATTATTCCATTTCAATAGTAGCAACGATTAAGATTATATATAAATTTCATATATTATCCAGTAATGGTTAAATCAATTTATTATAAAGTTAGTTTACTTTCTTACGAACATATAATTACTTGAAAGATTCAATAATGATAGTAACAATTCAAAATATCATTTTAATTATTTTAGGTTAAAGAAATCTTGTATACAAAATAATAGCTAATTATTTCTTATGTCATTCTAGTCAGAATGTAAACAGAAATAAGATTAGACAAGCAGAAAAGTACTTTTTTTTACGAATCATAGAAGTGTAGTTTATTTGCTTTGAATAGAATCAGCAATGTTTTTATCTGAGAAACAAAAAACGAATTTTGTAAGACTTTGTATTTTTTATGTGATAAACTATTTTTATGAATTAATTAATATACAAATAAATTTTATTGTCTAGGAATTGGTTGGTGGTTCAAGTAAAAAACAAAATTGGAAAGGATTAAGTATTGCATTTATTGTTATTGCCTTTGTTTGTTCATTGATTCTTGGAGCAATCGTGTTAACAAATAAGCGTAAGAAAGATTTTTTATTTTTCTTTCGATATAATTATTTTTTTGCAGAAGAAATTCCATATAGAAAACCATACCTTACAATTACTGAACAAGATATATTTAAAATTAAACCACCTAAACCGTAAATATATTTTTGTATTTTGATTTAATTTGATTTTTATAAAAAAATAGTTGGAATGGTACATGGATATCTAATAAATATTTTTCATATTTGAATACAAATAATTCAATATGGATTTATAATTGTGATACACTGACAAATAAATTATTATTTAAAACAGATTTTATACAGCAGGAATATATTGATCATGGAATAGTTTCACCATTAACTCGATATATTCTTGTACCAATTAAAAAAGAAAAAGTAATCAAAATTCAAATTTAAATCTGATTTGATCTGTTTTTCATAAATTAGATTCGTCCGTATTATACGGAATATCAATATGATATTTATGAGAAGACAAAATTAATTGCATCAATAATATCTACAGATAATCAGAAACTAGCCGTATCAACTGTAGTCTATTCTCATTCAGATAATCTATTCGTATGTTATCTTTTTGTATCTGATCATGTCAATAATGTTATGTTTTTTCCCCAGGCATTTATTCATAATTTTGATATTTATATATATAATATTACAAGAAAAACAAGTTATAGAATAACATCAGATGGTAATCGAAATACTATTCATAATGGTCTTGTCGAATGGATTTATGAATGTAAGATTAAAAATCAAATATACCAAATTTGTAGTAGAGATGTCGACGGAAATACAATGAACTTTCAGGAAGTCTAGAGCAATTAAGATGCATCAGAGCTGTCCATCGCGGCGCGATCTTATTGATTGGCAGGAGCCATTCTAGTTTAAACTAGTCACAGCCTTCGAAATCCAAAGATTTTTCGAAATACTATCGCGGTACGTCACAAAAAGTGAGCTCGAAATTTGGAGTTTACGACTTCGTGGTATTTCAGTAAATTCCAAAGTTTAACTGCATTTTTTTTTCTTGAATAACATCGGTCGATTCAGAATAACCAAGAGTATTTATATGAGCAATCAGAAACAGACAGTTCAAGTTCTGAGCTGAGATTTTCGTTGAAAACTAGACATCCGTAAACTCCAAATTTCTAGCTCACTTTTTTTTGACCATCGTGGCAGCGGTGCGGCAGGTTGCTAACCGCGATAGACATCTCTGAGATGCATTCATAGTTTTTTTTTATTGTATTCTAAAACAAAACTTCATTTTTTTGTCCTAGATGAAATTTTCAATCGAAATAATCTTTTATTCTGGTCACCAACAGATCGTTATTTAGCTTTTATTAAAATAAATCTAACAAATGTACCTAAAAATTATTATTTAAAATATGATTTTATATCTGAAAATGATGACTTATATTCTGTACCATATCCGAAATATAATGATCCAATTCCATTACTTGATGTTTATATTTTCAATACCAGATCGAAAAAAACTATTCGAGTACCACGACCCATTGAATATGAAAAATTGTAAGATTTATTCTGTTGTTGTTTTTTCGTATTCATCTTCTTTTAATTTAGAAAAATATCTGATGTATACATTTATCATATTGTTTGGTATCATGACACATATTTTTCAATTGTGTATGGTAATCGTATACGAAATTCAAGTGTCATTCAACTATATGAAATTGTTGCTGATAAAATAATTTTGAAATCAAAATTTATTGAAGAGACAGGAAAAGGATATTTATTAGCACGATTTCTAAAACCATATTTTTCGTTCAATGGAACATATGCTTATATAATACGTTTCGATTTATTAAATAGCGATAAATCGTCGATACAAAAATCATTTCCACGGGTTGTACGAATACATTTTAATCAATCTGTATGTTACTGAATAATAAAACAAAAATTTGAATAACGAAATTTATTTTTAGTATCCACAAATCAATGCAAAATCATCAGAAGATATAAATGCAGATGAAATAATTCATGTTGATAATTTCAATCGAGTTTATTTCACTGGATCATATCAAAATGATACTTTAGAAAAACAACTTTATCGGTAAGAATATATTTGTTTTTTTTTGTTTAAAGTTTATTTTGTTCTGTTAAAAACTAGATGGACATGTACAGATAATAATACAGATATTGAATGTTTATCCTGTAATGATTCATGTGGATATGCTAATGCTCAATTTAGTCTGGGGAAAGGAAGTTATCATATATTAGAATGCTTCGGACCATCAATTCCTTATTCAACATTATATAATCAAACGGACAAGCTCGGTAAAAAAAAGAAATTAATATGTCGATTGAAATTGATTTTATTTTTCAGTACTTATCAATGATAATGAACCATTTCGAGAATGGACAACTGAACGATTGATGCCTTATATTGGTTATTTTTCAGTACCATTAGATGACAAAAATACAGGTAAAGATAATATAACATCTCTGATTAGATTTATTACTGTTATAAATTAAATAGTCGGTAATGGTATGATTATTTTACCTCCAAATTATACTCCGAATAAAACAATTGCATCATATCCAGTTATTGTAACAATGTAAGAAATTCTGAATTCAATTGAATATTATTGATTATTTTTCTAGAAATAATCGATTGTACGATCAACGTGTGAATAAAAAATATATTTTACCATTAGCCGAGTATAACAATAGAGTCAAAAAAATATTATATGAAAATCTATTTTACTTTGTTTAGTTTTATTCAAGTTATTCAAGATAATATTAGTATTGTTTTATTTGATGCACATGGTAGTACAGGACAAGATGAAAGTTATTTGAAATCTAATTTTCAAAATTGGTTTGAACGACAACATGAAGATTATCTTAAAGTTGCACAGTAAGAATAGAATTAAACGAATTTTTTTATTATTATTATATTATTTTATATAGACATTTGAAATGGAATGATAAAAAATTTAGTGAAACTTTGAATAATACAAGATTCGGACTTAGAGCACAAGTAAGGATTTTTATAAATAATCATTTAGTATTTCAATTCATTTTATCTAGGGTCCAGCTGCTATTATTGCATTAAAACTATTAGAAGAAAATAATAAAAATAAAGATGAATATATATGTGCATTTCTTCAATCACCTGTATATGACTTATCGTATTATTGTAAGTTTTAATTCTATATATATAAATATTTAATTAACAATATTAATGTTATAGATGCAACTTTTAGCGAACAGATTAATGGAATAAATATGGATTTTAAATCAGTAAGTAACTGAAAAGTAAAACTTCGGTTTTTTATTTTTTATTTTTCAAGTCTCATCGATTCAATATTCAAAATAAAAGTTTAGCTATTGTACATGGAACAGCAGATGGTAAAGAATAAATATAATTTTTAAAGGATTTTTTCCTCTTCTTCTTTTAGAAATTGTACATTTTAAACATTCAGCAACATTAGCTAAATCATTCACTAATACTGATATGAATTTTGATTTCAAAGTATAATCGAAAATTATCTTTAAAAAAATAATTTTAATTTTTTTTATTACAAAAAAAAACAGGTTTATCCAGATGCTAGTCATTATTTTGAAGAAGATCCAATTATATATAATGATTTTCTTCATTATCAACGACAGTTTTTTCAAAAATGTCTTGGTGGACGAACTAATAAAGAACGAAAAATTACCATACCAGAAGAACATGAATAATTCAAGTGACACATAAGCAAATCAAATCTAGTCATACAAAAATCATTGTTCTTTCATAAAAAATCCAGCAAAATTCACCGTTTGATTGTCTTTTCTTTGTGTATATAAGTGTTTGTTTAGTGGCTCATTTTAATGTTTTATTTATAATTGACAAAAAAATATATTGTTCAGATAGGTATTAGATCGATATTATTTGAAATTACTTTCAATGAATAAATAAAAATCCAGTTGATTCAGTACAAATAATTTACTATAAAACATATGAATGATTCGTTAAATTTGCATTGCAATTGAAATATATTCGATACTGATAACAATAAGGTTAGTTTGGTTTATTTAAAAGCACATAGTTTACAATTACATAAAAAGCAGAATAAAATGGGATACAAAAAGAATAATGGTAATGGACAAGTTTCAATACAAATCAAAAAGACAAAAGGGAAAGAAACAAAGAAAAAAAGGCACAACAAAAGGGAACTGAGCTCAATTATTAACAAAAGAATGAATAACGGGTGACATTATGTGTTTACATTTTTTTTATTGGGATATGTTGCGTACAATATTTAAGGCAACTCTCTACTTATAAGAAGAACGAAATCAGCTTTGAAAACTTATGATTTTTATTAATATAATTTAAACTTAAAATGAGAGAAATATGTCTTATAAATCATTTTTAGGATGTAAACGTTGTCTTCACATACTTAGCTCTATATAGTGCTACTACCTCATCTCCTTCATCACCTGCTGATATTCTCAGAACTTCTTCAGTTACAAACTGAGTCAACTTTTCAGCACCTTGAGGAGAATTGATGTTTAACGGCTCGCAACGTCCTAATGTCTCACTTGCTATTTTCCGAAAGTTTTTTTCTGCTCCCGCATGAAGATAAAATGCATGAACGGGAATATCTTTAACTTTTAGCTTTTCTAATTCCGTTATATAATGAGTTGGCGTTTTATATTTAGTTTTACTCCAATACGCATCACCACCAGTAGCGTTTCTGTCTCTGTTTATTGCTAGCGTATCTTTTGCGGGTGCATCTCCTATCAAAATCACTTGAGATAATTCCTCTGGTTGTTCACTCTGCTGAACCGCATGCCAAAGTCCTATCTCAATAGCTTCTTCATAATCACCACCGCCCATAGCCGTAACTTTTGTCATGAAATTTCTTAAGTTACTTGGCTTAGTTTCCCAAGAAGAACTCTGAAGAATTCCATCTTCTTTACAATCATAGTCTCTATAAATTACAAATTGCATTTGAAACGCATCATCAGGTAGTCCTTTTTCTGCTAAAACAATTGAAGCACGTTCAAACATCGTACATACTGTTTCTTTAGCAGCAGATAGTAAACTAGACATAGATCCTGTAGCATCCATTAGCAAAACTGTACGTGAAGAATCTGCAACTATATTTGCTCCTTGATTTTGCTTAGCTAAAAACGTTTTTATGAGATCGATGTCTCCTGTCATTAATGCATTCATAAATTCTTTCGATGCTTTATGCTCAGCCTTACATTGTGCAATACCCAGTTCTTTTGCACCACATTTACTCTCATAACGGGCACTACGAGCTCGATTCAACGTATCGTAAAGTTTATCACCCATTATTCTCGAAAGATCTTCTTTCCAAGAGGGACCTACTACCCATTCTAAATCTTTACCTAGCAAAATCATCCGATAAGAACCTCTATCTCCTTGTCGCGCTCCTCTTCCCATGATTTGATACTCTTCAGATAACTCTTCAGAAAAGAATGACTGAAGAACATGAATACCACCATTCAGTAATAGGTCTTGATTACGACAAATAAAATCAGTTCCTCGTCCAAATGTTCGAGTTAATAGTGTCACTTTACCAATTGTAGCAGCACGTTTCACGCATAATTCTCTGTCTTTTACAGCCACTTTTTCCATTATTATTTGAACGTCTTGTTTTCTAGTAGATAATTCTTTAGAATTATAAAATTCTATTAATTTATCTTCTGATTCAAAAAATACTAGAATCGCCCGATCTACATTACATACTCTTTGAATTTCTCCAAAAATTTCCATAAAATATTCACTCTCATCAAGTATTACACGTACATCAGTCATTGGATTATAGCTACGATTGGTACTTCCAAAAACTGATGGCATATACGTCATTTTATCGATTACATATACATCTTTTAATATTTTCTTTTCTACCTTAGCAAGTGTTGTCAAAGTACCAGTTACACCACCGATATATGCAAAATCATGAGGCATTTCAGCATAAGAAAATGTTCCACAGTTAATAAGAATACCGACATTTTCATTTAGACTATTATGACTGATACTACCCTTTTCATTTTCATGATAATATGCCCAAACTGTATCATAACCACGAACAACATTATCAACTATAGATTCACCTTCGACATAGACAATCTTATCATTTTGAACTATATATGTTGACGATTGATATGATTGTAAAGCAGCTAACATATCTTTTATAGCTTCATCAAAAAGAAAAATCCAATTACTATATTTAGCTACACAAGCTTGGTATGTGGGCAGCACCTTGACACTATTTAATGATCGTAATGTCTTATTTTGCCAGATAGAATCTAATAATGCTTTTATTGAAGGATCTTTTAGATAAACTGATGGTATGTACATTCCACCATAATATTTATCACTTAGAAAAACATCTACTTCATCAATTAACAGTACTTTTGAACGTCTACACGATGATGTGTCAGTGACATCTAATTGTTTTTTATTCGTTACAATCATATCACACACTTTTTCTCTTACATTACATTGTTCGTTCAATAATTGTTCACATAATTTATTAAAAGTACCATATTCAATTCGTTCTTCTATTCCAAGTGCTCGGAAAACTGATGCAAAATCATTCTTATCACGTGTACTTAAAACTTCACTATAACAAGAACAATTGACATCAACTCCAGTAAGAGCAAAAACGCAAGCAGTGATTGCTAATATAACTGATTTACCTTCACCTGTACCTACTTCGACTAAGTTATTCACTAAATCATCGGATGCTTTTTTTGAATAAGTTCTTCCAAATAGTGGATCTTTTTTCTCTATTTCATAACCAAGACCAAGTAACCGAAAAATAGCGATGACCTGTCCAACATGTGGCATTAATAAATAAGATTTAGATTCGTCAATACCACGCATTGTATTATAATGTTGAGTATTTTTCAAAGTCCAAATAGCAAATATATATGCCAAAAGTGTAGGAATATCATCTTTAAAATGTTGAGTCCATGTTACAGAATTAGATGTTTTAGTTACTGTACTAGTCAGACGTCTGGTTTCGGAAATCAATATTTCTAAATCAGGTTCTTTCTTATTGTTCTGTGTAAGTAATTTCAAAAAATTAGACAATAATTCATCGTATGTTTTTTTAAAGGTGCAATAACGCAAACGCAAATTTTCCTTAGCTAAATCTGTTCCAGTTAACTTTTCTATTAAATATTCAAGGTCATCCTGTTTTTGCATTTTTTCTCGACGTCTTCTCCAATCTTCTCCACTTAAACTAGAATGTTCGCTAATTAATCGTGCACCTATGTCCGTTTTCTCTAATTCTACAGATAAACTTGCAATACCGACAGGACCTTGACTTTGTTTATAATGCTGGAGTACATCATCAATTTCATCATTAATATATTTCTCAAACATTGATAAATTTTCAGCGAAAAATTTTATTTTGATTAATGTGCTGGAAAGTTTTGAAACATCATAATTAGATTCTTTTATTTCTTTCTTTAAAGGACGGATTTTTTCAAGAATTTTCTCTTGAGAATCATCTAAAATTTGTTTGACATTAAGTCCCGAGAGATGTATATATTTGTCAAACGACGCAAGGTGATTATAGTACGTGCGGAAATCATCTGCATCCTTAGCCAAGAGTTCGGCTTTTGATGCTTTACCCATCAATTGACTCGTAATTTTCTCGATTTTTTCTTTAATATTCTTTTCAAATGTATCCATATCAATTGGTAACAATAAAACATCCTTAAACTTAGTATCTATATTTTTTAATATACTTAATATATTCCGCAGATTATTAAATAAATCGTCACGCTCTGCTTCAAATCGGATCGTCTCATCAGTTATAAATTCAACGTTCAATTGACTCTTTAGATTATCGATCATTTGTTCAAGTTCACTAATCATACTTTTGTATGAAATAATTTTTTTCATTTCTTTTAAAAAATTTTGTACTAAATTATGATTTAAAGAACATCGACTAACTGTGTCTAATAATGTTTGCCATTTTTTCGATATTAACATGGTTTCATATAGTTTAATAGGGTTCATATCTTTTAAAGCACTTTGAAATTTTTCAGAATTATTAATTAAATATTCTGATACTTTTCGAAATGCTTCTCGAATATTTTGCATGATTTCATTTGGAAAAAATTCTTCAATTCGCGTACTCAATGTGTTCGAAAACTCAAGATAAATTATTATATCGGTAAAAGCCTTTTCAAGTGTTGATGTCTGTTCAATCGAAGATATGTTGCTGAGAGTATCACAACAATTGGAAAGTCGTTTAATCATGAGAACACGAATATTTTCCGAAATAGCTTTAATTTCTGAAATATAATCGCCAAGATGTTCTTCGTATTTTATTATTTTTTTTGTGATATCAATAGCAGATTGAATGTTTTGCTCATCTAATGATTTCTGTATGTTCGTTCGGTACATTTGTAATTTCTTAATACATTCTTCACGTAATCTTTTCAGGAAATCAGGCATGTTTTGTTTGCTATACCGTTCTGCTAGATGTCTTATCTTCATAATCCCATGTTCATCATCGTCTACAGTCACGACCGAAGTAACTAGTTCCTGTTTATATTCTTCTTTTTCTTTCTCGATTAGCTTGTTCAATTCATCAATCTGCTGTTTAAACTGCATCTGAAGATCGTCGGGTAAAAAGCAGAGAGCATAATTTAGTGAGCTGATTTTCGCAGAACGTTCATTCAAAGGTGCCTTGCGTACATCTTCTATCGCTAGACTGAACGTTTGTCGAGTTTTCGCTAACATTAAAGTGTATGCCTGAGTAAATCTTGCACTACCATGGGCAGCAACCGCTTTCAATTTAGCTAAAAGATCTTTAGGCGGATTAATAGAAAACTGATTAATATTGGAAATCTCAGTTCGTTCTAAAACGCCATTAACTATATCATCTAATTTGCTTCTTAATTCTTTACTTTTTTTTTGCACATTGTCTGATGTACAATATCCCGCTAATTCACGCTGTACTTGACTCAAAGTTTCCATACCTTGCTCCGTTTCTGAGAAACTATCAGCCTCCATAAATGCTTCAATAGATCCGAGTCCTCGCAAAATAATTTCAGCTAAAATGTCATTAATTTGACTTTCAAACGCTCGAAGATTTTCTTTAAGATTTCCATCAAGAAGTTCGATAATACTGTTTTTATTGCAAGCAATTCGAATTTTATCAATGTTTTCTTTGATTTGTGTTATCTGAATTCGATTATCTTCTCTTTCGATTTTTCCATCGAGCCAATTTACGATACTTCTTGTGTCCTTCATCAACTTATTTAATGAACACTGTAGATCATGCGTAATTTGAGTTTTATCTTTTTGATTCAATGGATTATTTTCGATATCCGATAATACTATATCTGCATTAGCATAATCGCCTTTCGATATATAATCCAAGACAGTTCTATATGCTACTTTGCACTCTCTATATATTTCTCCTTGATATTGTTTATACAAAGCTGCAAATCCATTTCCGGCAAAAACGTTCACACAGAAACGGTCAACACAAGTTAGTGCTTGAGCAATGATTAGTTGATCTTTTAATTCTTTAAGTTTACCCGAAACTTTATATTCCTCCATTTTCGCATTTAAATTACGATGAAAATCAAGAAATTCTTGATGTAATTTTTCTATAGTTTCAGCAGCATTAATACGTTCGAAAACATGTGGAAATCTACTAAATGATGATAATTCTTGTAAACAGATTTCTAAATCTTGGGAATATATAAAAGGACCTCCTTCAGAGTTTGCATTACGTACATAATTAAATTTTTCATTTATTTGTTTTTTTAAAAAATCACCATATTCTCTAACATATTTATCTAAATTTTCATTTACATCCATGACACTTTCTCTTATACTATCATGATTAACTTTCTCACACTGGATTATATACACTATCGCATTATTTGCCATCGAAGCATCCATTCGACCAGTAAAGTGATAGATTTGTTTACTTTTTCTACGTTCATTAATAATTTGTGTTCTCTCTTGTATAGCGTAATCAAGTGAGTCATAGCTATTGAATTCTTTCTCTAGAATAAAACTAGTTTCTTCAGATGAAGAATGACGAGTAGTTAATAATGAATCATGTTCTTTCTTTATGGATTCAAGGCGACACAGAGACTTATTTAGTTCTGTAATCTCATCTTGAATTCTTTGAATGTCATTATCATATTTGTTATCGAGTTGCGTAATTTGTTCGTATACTAACTCAATACGATCATAACCGTGATCCTGTAAATAGGCATCAGCTTCAACATTGTAATTCGAAGATCTTGATAAGATCTTATTCGATAAATTTTCAATTAGACCTTTCGGTGTATGCAATATATTCGCGTACTCTGTAACAATCTTATGCAATCTGTTAGGCTCATTCTCTTTTGCACATTCTACAGTTGCCTTTAGTTCATGTTGTACTTTTTGCTTAGTTTTAACTTCTTCAATTTCGTTATTCAACATGTCAATATCGGTATAACCTTGGTTTTTTAAAAATACACGAGCTGGATGTACATTTTCGTACTGTCGTTTTATTTCTTCTAATTCTTTTAATTGTTTCTTTGTCTGATAAACGACTTTATCTTGTAAATCAAAACTTTTTTGAATACGATCGAACACATCTTGTGTGCATTTAGAAAATCGTTCAAGAATTTCTTTTCTGTACTTTTCTAATTCTGGAACACTACGCTCTAAATCTCTCATCGATTCTATTTTTTGAACAATCTCCATTGCAACAGGTACATTATCGGGACATTTTAAGCTAAAATCTGTTTTTATCAATTTTTTCTGTAACTGAGAAGCATATTGTACTAATTCGTCTTTGATACGAAGCATTAAATTATCATATGCCCCTGGACTAATTTGATTGATCCATCCAGCATTTTTTAAACGTGCTAATGATCGTGAAAGATATTTAAAATTGGTAATGCCTCTTTGTTGATCTATAGCACTGAGTAATTTTTCTGCATCTGCTTGTACTTCCCGCATATAACTACTAATATTCTCAATGGTCTGATAGTATGTTCCAGCAGTTTTTGATTCAAGTTCGGGAATAATACGAATAGCATCCATGTCATCGACTAATGATTTTATATGTTCTAAGGCTTGATCTCCATTTCTTTCGAAAAGTTGCTTAATTCGAACATTAATTTCATTAAAATAGTTGATTATCTTTACGATAAACTCATTGTAAATTCCATTTAAACTTTTGATGTTCTCTTCGAGAGGTTCATGTTCATTTGAATTTGTCATTTCTTTTTTTGATAGTTTTAAATATCTCAAAACATGTTCTTGAACTGTAGCATTCTCCCTAGCTGATCTTAGTATCTCCATATAGTTTTTAATAGTTTCAACTTCTTCTGAATTTAATCTAACTTTTGCTAAAACTAGTCCCGCTTTCTCAGAATAACTATTTAGATATTTCAAGAAATCTTTGACAGTATTGCTATATGCTTTTTGAACTTGTTCATGCAAATGTTTTTCCAAAGCACGTGCAGATTGAAATATATTAAGAAGAATTTCGGCAATTTCTGTGAAATTATTATTTGGAATAAGATCACGTGCATTTTGTACTAATTCATTGAAATGCTTTTGAAATTTTTTACAACTACTATTATAATTTTCTTTGAGTTCGACAAATGAATCTTTTAACATTTGAAGATTATCTAAATAGATTGTTACAAAAGGACTGTGTAACTCTACTTCATTTAAACTACGATCTATTTCATTAAGTTTAGTAATAATATTTTGAATCAATGCTGCAGGTGATAATAAAGATGTTCCTAAATGTTTTTTCAATATTTGAGCATGTTCAAGATATTTCATAGAACTTTCGTATTCTATAATATCTTTTCTTTGCAGTCCATCTTGGCTGGCTAGTAGACGATTAAATTTTTCCTTTATTTCTATACTATGATTATCAATACTTTCACTAACGAAACGAACAGATTCTTTATAAATATCTCGAATAAAACTTTCTTTCATTAGATCATTTAGAATTTGTAAATCATCCAAATAATACAATACAAGATCAATATCTTTATGTTTCATTGCACAAATGATACTAAATTTATCGCGTTGTACGTGATCAGAAATAGTAGCACGTGTTTCTTCACTCATTGAGAATCGAAAAACTTCTGCTGGATACATAATACCGCGTACATCCATCAAATTTTCAATTAACTCTTTTGGGCTGTCAGTCGTTGGACTGATTTTGTCAGCACCTTTTTTCGTTTTTCGAATCATATCTTTCAATACCTTGACAAAAACAATATCAGACTGTAAGGTTGCATCGCCATCTACTTGATCAGTTTTAATACTTAATAACAAAGCATGTATATCTGTTTTTTCTGGATATTTAGTAAATGCATAGTAGATAGCATCAAGTTTGTCTTCTATTCCATGTACCATACTAATTAATATGTGCGCCAATTTCTGAATACCTTGCCCTCGGTCGCCTAAACTTTTGTAACTTGACAAAGCCAATAACTTCACACTTTTCGTTCCTTTCAAGGCTTCAATAACTCCTATACTGTTTGCGATATCGACTTCAGGACCTGCTGTATCACCAAAACCTGGTGCATCACAAAATGTAATTACACCGGACTCGTGAGGACCTAAAACGTCTTTTAATTGAACGGTAACAGGTGCAATATATCGTGTCTCGGACTTCTGCAGAGGGCTACTAACAACGTTTTTCAAATCTGGATTTTTAATTGATCCAACTGCTGTTACATGTTGTAAGTATATCCCAGGACTAATTTCTACTTGAACTTCTTTCATTTTAGCACCTGAAAGAAACTGAATAGTCGTGGATTTACCGGCACCCGTTGTTCCTATCAAAAGAACTATGTCTTTATACTTAATCAATTCGGCAGCTTCTTTTGCTTTTGCAGTAAGTTTCTGTATTTCTAACACATTCAACGAACTAAACTTTTTTAAAAGCTCGTTCAAATAACCCACTATGCGTGAATAGTTATCGATATTTAAATGCGTCTCCAAATTATGAAGAATAGTTTTTATATTATCCGACAATAATTCTTCTCTTTTCATCTGATCCTTCAGCTTCTGTATTGATAACATTAATGTATCTTGATCTTGTGAAGCTATATTTTCTCCTAATAATTTTTGCTCAAAATACGCTAGAAGTTCTATGACAGTTTTTCTAGCACAAACTGGCATAGCGTTGGCTTCGTCATGTAGGTCCTTGATGTGCGAGATATTTTTCTCTGGGTGATTTGGTAGGCCCAGTAGTGATGGATTAATATCAGACTCTGGTTGTAATGTATCCATGATAGGTTTCGACTGAGATTGGATTATGATCGACGAAAGTTTGTCAATCTCCTTGGCAAGATTTTGTAGTTTTATTAGTTCCTCCAAATTAATATTTTCTTTCTGGGCATCTTCTGTTCTTTCTTCATCTTCATAATCTTTAATTCTTTCTGTTGTTTTCTGTATTCTTTGTAACAACGCAGCTTCGTCTCGAACTTTAAATCTTACTAATCCGTTGTCAAATTTTTTTCTCAGCTGAAGAAGTTTCAGTTGGTTATCCTGCTCAGGTGAAGACGACTTTTGCGTCAATTCATTTATTTCATTCATCAGATACTGTAATTGT